AAAACGTTATTGCTTGTATACAAAAAAAATAAACTGCAAGTAACAAAAGAGAAATTTGTGATATTTGACGAGTAATTTTGAAGTTGATTGCTGCTGAAAAACCCTATTATGTTCTTTATTTTTACTAAAAGACTATCGCTTATTTACATCCAGTAAGGTAGCCAATCAGACAGCGCGCGGCCAGAAGTTTTAGCAAAAAACCTTCACACCCCTCCCCGTTTAATAAATTTTCACCAAATGACGTCACATCGACAGACAAATGATTCATAGGCCCTGTAGGGTGTCTACGAATGTTAGTCAACTTGAACTTATAAACATCACAACACCAAATTCGTCCACGACAATAGACCTTTTGTAATTAAGACATATGTCCTGTGTACCAAAATGTCCCACTTATGTCAGGGTATTGTTATGCATAAATACAAGTATGGTATAAGACAATGAAATATCAGCTTAAGTGCTGACTGCCGATATATCCGTGAAAAACCTATGTTGCTCAAGTGCGAACACTCGGGGAATGCTCGCAGAAATGTTGATTAGACGATAGAAGGCAGGATTTCGCACGAACGGTGTTCATAAGAAAGGACACAGGGATCCCAAGACTAAAATCAGTTGCTCACTCCAACAGGAAGTTCGACACATAAAATAAAATTAATTCATTTTTTTTATTTTCCTTCAATTTTTTTTTCAGTTTTTCCAGTTATTCYGAGTCCGAGCTAATTTGTTGCCATTTTTTAACGGCTTTTTTGTGGGCATCAGCCGCTTCTTTCACACTGTGCATCATTCCCGGCAGCATTTCTAAAATGTCGTCATGTTTCGACTTCTTTGTTTTCTTTTTTGCCAGTTGTTTCCTTCTTTTGTTCTTTGACGTAGTAGTATCTATAACAAGRTAAGAAAAGTTGATATCAAGACTTCATTACTGTTTGGTGATAGTAATTTTGTATAATAGCAACTGAAATTTCTTCATCATTACGCGGTTTACCAATTTGAAAACCGCGGACCAATTAGTACCTAACTATATTTCATTATCTATATTTAACGTGCGGAGCAACACAAAAGCAAATAGGCAGGTTAACAAAACATTTTGATGATTTACTTAAAATGTAAAAATGCCCACCTTGTTCATCTGAACCAGCTGAGTCACTGAAATCACAGTCTTTTGCCAATTCTTTARATGCMGCGTTGTCTAACCATTTTGCTGGTTTCTTTTTTCCAGTACTAGTCTGCTTATATAAATATAGCTCATCCAACTCAGTTTCGCTTGATTCACTCGTACTCTTATACACGTCCTCGGGATTTATTGTCTTTGGCCGCGAAGAAACTGAAGCGGGCTCATCTGAAAGTCCACTAGGCTTTTTAGATTCCCTTTTCTCCNTTGCTCGACACGTTTTCTCGCGAGATAATTTGGCCAACTCCTCAAGAATGGCGAAGCTGGCAAGGCCACTGGGAAAGGTTTCCAACCTGTGTGGGGGTAATCGACGGCACGACGCATGCAATATGGCGACCATCACGAAGGCAAAGGCTTTTCTAWCGCCGTGACAAGAAAAAGYACTTTATGGCAAGCCATCTAATTGTGACACCAGATGGAATGATAGCTCATTGTTCAGCAGCGTAAGTCAAATAGTAGAATAGGTAAACCCAAGTTATGAATTACCCTTGATTAACCGACATATCCTTAACTTGTATAGTGCAATTACATTTTTCAAAAATAACTGTTTACATCAAGTACTCTTGCACTAGTATGCGTACACAATAAGCAACTGATACTCATATATACTTTGTATAAACAGATTTCCCGGTCATTTCCCATGCATTTTGATCAAAAATCGACTATGTTTACATCAACTCTTGCACTAGTATGCGTACACAATAAGCAACTGATACTCATATATACTTTGTATAAACAGATTTCCCGGTCATTTAAATGACATTAATTGCTTCAACATGATGCCAAGTATTGGTCCAGGGTGTGAMCTAGATTTGCCAGATGGGTGCCATATTCTCGCTGACGGTGGCTACCCTCCACATCCAGTTCTTGTCAGACCAAGAAGGAAAAATCAAGTACGGGGAAACAGRAGGCTCAAGAAAATAAACAGGGAACTGAGGAAGTGTCGTGTAAAGGTGGAGCACGAAATTGGGTTTTTAAAAACCTATMGGTGCATTTCCGATGAAGGAGGTCGTTGGAGACATAAAAAGCCCTTTCTATCTATAGTAGTACACTTGTGCGCTTGTTTAAGCAATAGAAGAAAACGATTTCTGTCTTAATAAAAATTCATAACAATCTGAATGACAGCTTTAGAGTGTACGTGTAGAAAATTGTCCAGACTTATTGTTCTATCCAAAATTATACGCATAGCAACAGAATAATATGGCCCTCGGCAGGGGGAGGGATGGGGGGCTCCGGGGTATAAGTACCGGGGATGCTCCTCGGAAATTTTCAAAAATAATACAAGAAGTCTTGAAAAAAAAGGCGTGGCTGACTGATTTTTAACCCCTAAGAGATTGCACAACAAATATTTACATCCGTTCCAATAATATAGTGTATAAAATATTTAATTTTAATTTAACCAAACGCAAGGAAAATCAATATCGATGCGCTCTTTGTCTTCTTAGCTTCCGACACCCAAAGAGATTGCAGGAAATGCGAATTTTCCGGAAACTATGCGTGAATGGATTAGCACAACGTATTTGTGCGCGCTACTGAGCGAGTTTTCTATATACATTATGCAGTAGAATGTTATTCTTATGCTAATAGGCAATCTCATTATTTTTTTCTAAATGATTTCTTAAGTAGGACGTCCTGGTACATAGGACATACGTCTTATTTACAAAAGGTCTAATAAGGATAACAACTATCACTCCTATTATATGATTTTTGAGCTGTCATTTGACTAAAACACAAAAACTGCATGTAATGGCAAAAATACTAAATGCCAAAGGCGTTAGCCAAATTTTGACATTTTGCTCTGATGTTTTCTCCAATGGCTGAAATAATTTTAGAATGATGCAAAGACAGTTTCTTTGCTGCCAGTTTTTACAACATAATGAACATGCAATGCATAAAATTTTCTTTTACTTATGAATATTGCTTTTTGATGCCATTAGAATGCAACATTACCTGAACCCTGCTTATGCTTACTACAACAGACACAATGACCTTCRTCAAGAATTGAGAATTATTTTTTATTTGACAGTTAAAAATTTTCCATTTTCAATAAAACAACATACACATACCTATAAATACAAAACAGTAACATGACACAGAAGTCAATCAATTGACGTTACTTTGAATAAACAATTTTGATCTACATGAATATATAATAATTATTGGGTTACTTACTGTTACTATGTTCACTTACTGTGTACAGGGCCATTTTTCCAGAGATTATTTTAGACCTTGCAGAGCTTACCTGTTTGGAGACTCTCTAAAATCATATCTGTCAGAGGGTTGGAACAGAATTTACACTTTAAACAATCAACAGAAGATTTAGGAAATCCACAGTAGCAGTATCTTGAATCTGAAGTTGCTTGCTTAGGTATGTAACTTGAGCTGGAAGTGGCTGGTTTTGAGATGTTATAACCCTTTTCTCGAAGCCATACTAGGGAAATGTATTCGTGTCGGAAAATCTGAGCCCAGCGGGAATGGTAGTTGGTATTTACACAGTACTTGGACACAAACTGATGTTTCGCTTCCCTCCCTTCCATTGAATTCAGGGCCAAGCCTTTCCCATACTTCTCTTTCATTTCACAAACATGTACTGGCACTACATTACCCAGTGTCCAGGCTGTTGGATGGTGTCGATAGTACATTACATTAATGCGATGGTACTGCTTGCAAAGGTCTTGAAGTTCTGTGATTTGCTGGTCTGAAATATTAAGTCGGTTAAAAAGAGATACACAATTTCGTAGGATCTGACAATAACATGCAATGAGATACATACTAAACTCTCGATGCGAACCCTGCTTTACTAATGGTTCAATAACACTAATTAAAAACATAAAAATATGCAATAGGCCCCTGGAATCCTTCCCAGTGAAGCGGTAATCAAAAGACTTTTCACTATTTCTGCCTGTATCAAACCAGCGGACAATCTGATTGGCTAGCCGTTTCATCTTGTGGTCTCTCATTACTCCAATGTATTTTGCTAGTGCAGACCTGGAATCTACCTGTTGAAATGAACTTACTGAAGATGGAATATTAGATACTTCACAAACAAGATATAAAAGATAACGGTGGGCCAGGGCACATGCATTATTTTTTNCCATTTTCATGTCATTGGGTAATTCGCCGACTTTAAATTTAACATTAACTGGTTTTCCATTATGATTGAGTTGGTAAACACTATCCTCAATAGTTTTGATATCATCCATTAAGATCTTTATGAATCTTTTGACTGGCAGGCTACTTTCACTGCAGTTTGCACCAAAAATGAGGAAGTTCTCATTGCTGCTCAGGATTCCCTGTCCTATATTCAAAAACCCAATCAGCCATGCACATGAACAATCGTCCTTCCCAAAGGGGGCACCATCCCCACCTAAAGTAAAATAAAAACAATACGGTTCGCCAAACCAAATCAGTTCATGGCTGCTGTACCCTGAAAGATAAAATTGTCCCAAGGTCAGCAGAGTTTCTGTTAGATTTCTATATACACCACTCACCTTCTCTTCTTCGGGCATATCGTAACACAGAGTGTCACGTACACTGTACACAGTACCTATAGGTATGGATTTGATGAAGGGCATTAGCCTATTGTAGGGCACAAGCCTAGGTAAAGGTACATTAGAAATAGTTATACGCACAGTCCTCCTCCTCCTCCTACTACTGGCACTACCTCTATTTGGTTTATAACCTAAATCTCTATACGTCTTTCTAAACTTTTTCTTCCCTGACACCCCACCATTATAATATACAGCTACACTTCTTATCTTATTTRCTTCAGAGCTTTCATAATCTACTAAACTTTGTTTAAATAGTTTTGGCAATATTTTCTTTTTTACTTTATTGTTCTTCATAAGTGCTTTAGTAACAATTTCTGTGCTGCATCTTTGGAGTGCTGTGTCAATTAATCCTATCTGTGCAGGTGATGTATCAACTTCACTACCGCCATGAATATTCATTGCCATGTTAAAAGTTTCTGCCCTTCTTCTATTTATAACTGACTTGCTCCCACTTAAACCGCTATCTGATGAATCGTTGAACTGTGTCTTATTCTGTCTCCTTCGCTCTATAGATTTATCTGAGAACCCTGTCTTCCTATGCTGATCTGTACACTCACTCTGTATCTCTCCTAATTCTTCTATCTTCTCCACTAAATTACTAACCTATTTGTGCAATTAAAAACAAAAACAATAAACTTAAATCATCCTAGTGTTATGTAAAGAAATATTATTTTATCTATAGAGCCATTGAAATTAATCAATCACACTCTTATTCATCATTACAACACAAACCACCTTATATCAATAATTCTTWCTACKATATACATATAAGTTTGAGTATATAAACACTACTTTAGTTTGCAGATTATTTTTTTCGATTTTGTATTTTTTAGTGCAATTGTGTACAAACAATYTCTTKCAGAACAATTGACTTTTAAAATATTGATAGCAAAAAAAGGCACAAGTAGTTTCTTAAATATTTACTTACATCAATAAAGCAATTTATTAAAGCTAGCTTACATGTAAAATGTAATTAATTTAGATGTCAATTTCAATTGGTCNATGCCGCGAAACACGCTTCAGATTTTATCGAAAAATCCATCAACTTCAAACTCGACTTTCTCAAAAGTGCGTAAATGAATTTTTCCCAAACACACATTCCCTGACACCCTTATGATTGGACTTCAACAAACTAAAAAGTTACAATTGGTATCTATTTTCAATCGAACGCACGAAGCTGTTGAAGTTGTCTATTTTTGCACTCTCAAATTGCGTGACGGCAGATAAGTTTTACTTCCGGTCAAGTCGCAATTCCGTCAGAGACTCTAAAACTTGCAATAAAAGAACTCTTCTAAAGACAATCACTATTATAAATACTGTTTATGGTTCTAATTTATGGTTTTGGGTCTAAAATCAGTTCTTTTCGACCATAATATTGTAGGATATGCAATGCTAATTTGCATAAATAAACAAGTCAATCGCCGCGATACAAATCGATCGTTGAAGCGGCATAATACTGATTTTATTGTTTGATGATAAATCAATAAAACATACATTGACTCTATTTAATAACTAACTCGTTCTATATATAACTGCATTCGTTTACCTGCAACTACAAGAAGAATTTATTCCTCTGCAAACTCTTTCCGGAACCTGTTCCGTCCTTTTCACCGAAGAGTTAGAGCGAACAAATGCTTCTAGGTAACGTTCAGGATATATATCTCAAATTATAATCATTGGTCTTTTTTTGTCCATTTTTTATCAATTATAATATGGTCAAMCTATTATTTATAATTGTTCAATATAAAACATAAGCCATTTACGAAAAAAAGAGTAAATGTACATTAATCATTTTAATATTTACTCAGTCTGCATACAACTATTTACGTATCTAATGTTGWAGCGTTTTGTTGTGGATATATCCCATATTAATCACAAGCGTAAAACCCGATTCATTTGGATGTACAATTGGCATAAATGCAAAAATTGGAACTTGTWCTCTCGTTTACATCAGATCATGTACTGGAACCCATACTTAGAAAAATGACCCTCCGTAACCAGAATATAACGAGTATGTTAGAAAGCTAAAACTTTTTTCTATTTGTATTTTTACGGCGACAGAATATGCCTGGTTTAAGGTCCGTTAACTTACAGTCATCACAATCAAGTGAACTATAGATGACAAGAATATAGGTGCACAATTTGCACTAAAAATGCATCATTATCAATGCGCAATATTGAAAACAATTTTTGTTTGTCATGGATGTAATGTTTAAAGGCCGTCAATGAGGACTGGAACTAATTGCGTGGACTTTGAAACCCCGTCAAGTCCGAATTGGGGGCCTTTGAACGAATTCAAAAACTCATTTATCATTCGGAAGGGGTAATTGAACCTGTGTGCTCATGCGCGAACGACCTGTTATGTTCGAGTACCAGATCGTTGTGCAGCTTTTCAGTTTTGAACCCGGTTGTCATGAGCGGGGGTCTCATTGATGGTAAGATGATGGATGCTTGGAGTACTTTGAAAGCTGTTTTTCTTTATTTAAAAAAAAATCCAAGCACTCTGTGCCGGACTCGGGATTTCAAAGTACTGCAAGTGGTACAAATTGAGTTTCTGGTTTGGTTGCTTACCTCTTGAATGATTAATGAGTTTTTAATGGGTGTTACCTGTCGCACAAGAGCACGTAGAAATAAATGTTTGGATGGGTACTATAAAGCTTTTCTTTCTTGTTAATGGCCCATCTACCGCTATCTCAAGTCTCTCACAGATCTGTTTGAGTTCTGCCAGTTTTAACGTTGGAAGCTTTTCATTAGATGTGAGTTCACAAATGTTTAGGTTATCAAGTAATACAGGATGGTCTGGAACGTTGATATCATCTTCAACTGCCTTGCGCAAAGCTTCAAATGACTCCTGATCTTCGATGGCTTCAATATCATCATCTGATATTTCTTTTTCCTCATCAGTCATGTCCTTTCTCGCTTGCTCGATTTTTCTTTTCGCTGACAGTCGTGAGAAGAACCCTTTAATTTGTTCAGGTGTTTTCCATTCCTCTGGTGTAAATAGAGGCTGTCCATTGTCATCCTTTGCATGCTTCATTTCCTTGCTCACTTGTGATGGTTCAGCTTTTTGGCCTGTAATAGCGCCYGAGTCGAAGTGTTCCACAAGGAATGACTTGACTTTATCCGACATTTTGGTCCAGGTCCTGGTTGTCTTTAAAGCCCATCCCATAGCTTGTTGTTCATCAGTTGAAMTCTCTTGTTGATGACTGTTGCTGCTTGATTCTGCTGCCATTTCACTAGAGGCTGGTTGGCTGATAAATTTGATTCCGCTGACTTTCTCCGKCCATGCTTTCCTGATGGAATCGTAAAGGGATTCTTTGTCTGTTTTGCGCACGTGCTCTCCGGTGTCCATGTGTTCTTCGGCTTGAGACTGCTCTTTGAAAGTAAGAATACARCCAGGCTCATTACAGGAGTATATCTCATTTTGATTGCCTTCTTGTCTCGCTCCTATGATGCCAAATTCACGCATTCTGAGGCCAAAATTCTGTAGAACCTCTAAAGCAGTATCATCCTGTGGTACAATTTGAAGATCTTTATACAAGATGAGGTTCCCGGGTCCAATATCATAGCTTCGCCACACCCTAATGCCATCCTTTTCAAGCAAAAAGTTGTTTAGAAGACTAATGCCAGGTATCTTGTTGTCACTTGCATTATCTCTAGATGTATTCAGCTTGACCACTGCTGCACGGCTTCCTTTGACGCCTCCATGTGATTCAAGGGCTGTTTTCATTTCTTCAGCAGTAGTGATATCATGCTTCTCGTTTAGCCATCTCCTCATGTGAGACTTCATTGATGCAATTTTGCGATCGCAGATATCTTTCCCAGCTTGTGGATCTGAGAAATCATATCTTTGAATGGTGATACCGGTTCTCTCGGAGATGTATCGAAGACTCAGCAAGAGTGAACCATTGTGGTAACACGCGGCATTATCAGAACGCAAGTTGACTTTTGTCACTGAGGGATAATCCTTTCGAATGGTATGGAGGAGGTTTTCAACTATGGAGGTCACAGCAAAGGCGCCTTGAACGCAAGAATCGAGCAGATGCACATAGCACTCAACTTTATAGCCACCATCGCTTTTGGTAATGACTGCTGACACGTGCCAATTTTTACCCTTTTTTCCAAAAAAATCACTCATACGCTCTCTYTAACGTTGAGGCAAATATTTCATTGCCCAGTCCATGATGACTAAGGCTGTGTCATCTTTCAGATCGCGAAGAGCTTTGTTCTTTGCTTCATCTTGATTTAGAAGACGAAGTAAATGGGATTTCCAAGCGTAGATACGACGTATATATTCWTTTATCTCAAAGGATTTTCTTTGTCTCTGTTCTTCAGTCATGTCTACCTCAGCAYCCTTCTGTACAACCTCTTGAAGAACTGTCCTTAGTGCTTCACATCTTTCACAAGATATATCATGTTGATGGCTACATTTTCCTTTGAACTTGATATTGTTTGGGTCGCTCAGAGCATAAACAATACAGTGGTCTTTACAGTGCTCATTTCGTCCTATGTGCGCCTTGAAGTCTACCTTCAGGTATCTCTTTGCTTCTCTAAGTTCCTTTTTAGCAGTTTTGCCCCACAGCTCATCTGCGCCATTTTCCACCAATGAGTCCACGGCACTAATAATGTTGTCAAAAGATTCTGTTCCGTCAGCAGTAAAACTGTCTAGACCTTGGAGGGATTTTTGGATCGATGCAGCACATACTTCCAGCATTCTGAAGAGCGATCGATCACTTGCTGGCTGGACMTTTTCCTGTATACAATAGCTTTTGTATTGCTCAATGATTCTTGAGGGAATCAAAGTCCTGATAACAGCAGGGATAACAATCTTTTCACCCGAATCCAATTTCAGAGTTTTCGTCCCAAATGCTACGTCTTGTACGAATTCAGGACGTGAAATATAATCAACGAAGTGGTCAATCTTACTCTGCTCGATTTTCTGACGAAATATTTGTTGATGGGGTACAGGTTGCCCTTTTCCGGTGTCTATAGCGTGCTGGCGAGCAGCGTCTATACACCACTTAGAAAGTCCAGGAACGAGTTCCTGCAGTTCTGACTTGCTGAAGTCATTTGCAAAAATTGAAAGTATTTGCCGTTGAGTCTGCCATGTTTCAGCCTTTTCATACGCTTTTACTAGAACATCAACCAATCCTTCTTTTCCATCAAATTGCATGGGCTTGTTAGAAGCACTGGTGTCCATATCAAGTGATACCGCTTGTCTCATTGTTTTCCACAGTTCTTCTTCTTGACCAGGGCTTATGATAGTTAATACAGCGCCTAATGACTCTTTTGCTTTGCGCGAATAGTACTTCTGTTGGGTACTTGATATGTCATCCCACGTAGTGTTTAACGTTGACAATATAGGGCTTATCCGACCACTACTCAGCTTATCAAGAGCTTCATTAAGGGTCTGTCTTTTTTCTTGTTGAGCTTCAATTTCATCAACCCAGATGCTCACCTCCCCTTCAGGAATGGTTTTAGATGACTGGGACGAATGCGACGAATGCGACGACTGCGACGACTGCGATGACTGCGATGACTGGGATGGCTGAGTCTCGTCTATCTCAGGAGGAATCGGGCTTTGAGCTGAAGTGCTTGGTTCATCATGTTTCACTGGCTCGATAGCAGGCTGCATCTCCCCCTAAAACACAGTGAGTTGATCTCTGATTACGCATGGTGTAAATTAAATGAAGATAATGGAATCAACTTACTTCAGCAGTATCATGAAGCTGATTACTTTCGTCATCTCGAAGTTTGTAATGCACCAATCTACAATTCGTACATATCGCTGAAAAAGCAATAGATGTCTTAGAAATAAACCGCAGGTCTCATAAAGTTGATGTTACACAAATCATCTTATAACATCAACTTTTACACTTGTTGCGCTGAAAGTTGAATCATAACATGGCGKGCGAGTACAACTTTTAACGTTTTTTTGTTGTTGCGGTTACATGTTGCGAGTTTTAAAGACCATCAAAACTCACAAAATTACGGAGAAATTTTCGGATGTGACGCGGGCTGAGTAATCACTCTATTACTTTCTGCTTTTAATGAAATGTAATTTCACAATCACAGGCAGCCCAATTATGAATTTATAACAAATAAGTATTATTATTCTATGCGAAACAATTTGCGCGTGGATTTCATGTATTATCATCGAAACATAGACGAAGAAAAAAAACGCATGCACTTTATCTAATTGATTTGTTTGAGCGCATGCGCATGGATTAACTTTGGCTCTATTTCACAATCCCGCAACTAAATGTAGAACCACAGGTAAAGCACGCGCTTTCGTGCGAATCAATAAAGAGCGCTTGCTTCGTAATTTTCGTTTAAATAAAAAACTCATTCATGTTTGGGCTACCTGCGGTTTACGCACGCATAGTATTTTTATTCCCTATTAGTATTGGGCTTTACACACGAGTCCCCTAGCTTTTACTATTGATAAGAAAACCGCYCTTTCACTAACTCCAAGGGGAAAATATACGAAAACGTTTCTTATCCGATACAAGTCCAGTGGACATCGAAAACACACTCAGCTATATAGATAGTATATAACCAAAATGACGTCATATCACTATATTAGAATTCCAACTGWACTTTKATTTACTTGAATATAAGAAAAATACAAATAGGCAAAAAATAAAATACATAACATTTTATTTATGACATATTGAATGCAACAACAGTGTTTCTTACCAGATCCAATGGGAACTARTTCATTAAACATCCGATGAATCTCCATTGACATTAGCTCGTTGATGCGGCGAGTTGACTTGACTCGTTGACCCTTGTGTGCGGGGTAGGTACATGAGTTATTCTTGCGACCTTGCCAGTCGATAGTAAGTAATTTTCTATGTCTTGGACATATCGTCATTCTTTTCGTCTCATTTTCCGATGTGTTAAAAAATCCTGCACGGTTTAGAATGAGCTGTTTTTCTGAAATAACTGACTTTCCTCGTCCTCGCTTCCCCGTAACCTGTAAACTCACGAGGTGTCCAGTCATGTCTGCCAAACACGCATCAAGAGGTACCACTGTGGAGCCTGTACCAAGCAAGCCACATGGCGAATCATCGGTAGCAAAAGAACAAGTTAATTCAGCAGAAGCCATTATGCTATCTCTGGAATTGAGCGCGATATAGAAAAGAAACTTTCTTCGATCACCTACAATAGACTGAAATGAACAATCACTGGACGTCTGACCTGGGACTTTTGTATTTTTATCGAACTGGAATTGAAAACAAGTTTACAACTTGATACACAAGACTCGTCTGAATCAAGTTATAGTTAAAATGATTTTAATCATTAAAAAAAAACATGTCTTAGGTAATGGTTTAGCAATAGACCACAGATAAGCACAGCATCAAACAATAAAATCAGTATTATGCCGCTTCAACGATCGATTTGTATCGCGGCGATTGACTTGTTTATTTATGCAAATTAGCATTGCATATCCTACAATATTATGGTCGAAAAGAACTGATTTTYGACCCAAAACCATAAATTAGAACCATAAACAGTATTTATAATAGTGATTGTCTTTAGAAGAGTTCTTTTATTGCAAGTTTTAGAGTCTCTGACGGAATTGCGACTTGACCGGAAGTAAAACTTATCTGCCGTCACGCAATTTGAGAGTGCAAAAATAGACAACTTCAACAGCTTCGTGCGTTCGATTGAAAATAGATACCAATTGTAACTTTTTAGTTTGTTGAAGTCCAATCATAAGGGTGTCAGGGAATGTGTGTTTGGGAAAAATTCATTTACGCACTTTTGAGAAAGTCGAGTTTGAAGTTGATGGATTTTTCGATAAAATCTGAAGCGTGTTTCGCGGCATAATTGAAGTCAAGGTCAAAGTTGTAAAAATCGCCCGATTTGTCTCAAAACCTACAGAAGTATTCGTCAAAGGACATATTTCAAATATYAATTTTCAAAAATTGGATTGAAGAAGCGATTGTACCTCTTTAGGGGCCCGAATTCTACCTAAAAGTTTGGCGTAACGAAGGCCGATTTSGGTCCAAAACCGAGGGGGGTGGTCAATCTCGCAAAATATAACCTCTTCGAAACTTTTAATACCACAGTTCATAATCAATTTGGATAGTCTTTCATCGCTGAAAGTTTCATTGAAATCGGCCGACCCTCATCTTTTGGATCTGCCCGGTTTTCTCCGGCAATCATTCTTAAGAGTTATTCCTGGATTAGCTTTAACTGAGCTAAGATCAACCTGGTCCTTGGTTGAATGAAATCTCAGAGGGAGCAAATAAAACCTTCAAAGGCCTTTACTTTAGTCTGAATTATAACAGTTACTGCATTATAAAGCCTAATCTGAAAGGATCTTATCAAGGCTTAAATTTTCCAACCATTTATCATGGCTATTCAACTTACCCAAGATACACTCGCTTGTCATGCCGATATTTTCTACTTGACATGTCGCCYTGGTCACGTATGATCTTCCTGACATGCTCAGGGGGCATGTCTTCCTTCTGYGCCTCCACAAAACCAAACTTACGCTTTTCACTGTAACGTTTGGATTGAAGTTGTTGCCATTTTCGGGCTGATAAACAAAACAAAATTTAATCTTGCTTAAATATGTGAAAGTTTTCTTAGGCTGCTCCCTAACCAAAACATTTTATCAATGTCAAAGTTCTACACTTTCCTTTAGTATTAATAGAAACTCATGCAGATAAGTAAATGACAATTTAGAGCCAAAACAATCAATGCAATGGCTCAAAAATCGATGGGACAGAGAGTTAAATAATGCTTCTACCTACAACAATTTAATATATCCAAAAAAATAACTATAACTATGACAAACAATAAAAGACTATGTCAACTCTGACTTCTTGATCAACAACACTGCAAATTTCGCCAACTTCAATTCCACGACATTTTCAATGGAGCCCAGATCTATCACTTTAGATTGATCTTAAAACTATCACAAACAACCTGATACCAGAAGGAACAGAATAGAACAGCTATTAAAAGCTCCTTTGCTGGGTTTTAGTTTGACAAYAATACTCAAACAATGATAAAACACGTGCAACTAATTTCGTGACAGTGAATTTCAAAAAGTTTTGCACTTGCTAWACCTTGTAAARACACATCTAAACCTCAGGCACAATAGCTCCAGATGTATAATGCTCTGATMTTTTCGCAAATGTACTGCARTGAACATCTTTCTCTTACCTTTCTCTTGTAGTTTTTCATCTATAAGATGAGGATTATGCGCCATGGCCGCCGCCATATTGGCTGCCGAACTTCCAAATTTGACCTYAAAACAACGCAAGAARAACCGAATTAACTCAAGTAACTTTATTCCACAAAAGCATAGTACTAGATAACGACAATTTGGTAGTAATGKGCCAACACTTACCACTTAAATGGGCCAAAAATTGAAGTTTTTCAGTACTTTCTTGTTCGAGAAGCGTTGTTACAACGCAACGTGCGTATGGAACTCGTCACCAGTCTCAACGCGGTCTCAGACCTTTTTACATCAGAATGAGGCTTTACTTACGAAGTTTGTTGAGGAAGGGCCGGGGTGGAGGGGAATGGTTAGGGAAGTGTCAGAAGTCAGTGAGGTATTACATATAAAAATTCCATTAAGGACATATATTTTTCTCCTTCCTGGAAAGAAACTGCCACATCTTATCAGGTTCTGTTTCATGCAATTTATTCAGCTCATTAATTCCTAGCAGAAATTTGTCTGAAAAAAATATATGCTATAATTATTACAAAATAATAATTATTATAAAGGCAGTGCCTTAATAGATACATACAATAACTTTTGCTTTGATCTATGAATCATATTAAAAGCAGGAGATCAAAGTACAATCAGTGCCTCTAAATTTTGCATTAATAGATACAACAATAACTTTTGCTTTGATCTATGAATCATATTAAAAGCAGGAGATCAAAGTACAATCAGTGCCTCTAAATTTTTTTAAAGCTAGCTGTGTGCCTTCACAGTACAGTGGCCTGAATTTAATAAGTCAGCAACTACACCAATTAGTTAACCACATTTAATAAAGGTACCACTGGACATTGTGGGCTACTCCACTATGCCCATATTTGCTGCTGTTGCTACATTTTTTAACCCACTTTTCATTGTTTTGAATTAATCCATTTTGATATCTTGACCTCACACTTGTACAATTCTAACTAGTTGTAAGGCTGCTAGAATTCCATTTAAGTTTTTGAGAGAATATATGTAAACCAGTGTTTGTTTTGTTTTGAATATGGCTTTCACAACCACGAATAAGCAGGGCAAAAAGATACCAAACTTTCCAGGAAATGAATTAATTTGACATTTAATTTGACTTTGAAAAATAAAGCACTMCTTTTTTATACAACTACTTCCTGTGATAGACATTGTAGAGGACCAGTGTCCTTGTTCTATGCAAATATACAGTATAGTTATGCATACTCAAAATAACAGGGACCACCAATAGACTTCTGAACCTTCTATATCATTACTTGATTTTCAATGCATTGTGGGATTAGTTTCTGGAGGGAAAAAACAGAAATCCACCATTTTCTGTCCCAAACATGTCCTACAATGCATTGTCTATACAGGACATGGCATAATAGCTTCAGAGTCTATTGTATCCTGAGAGAGAAGCACAATCTAAAGGGTCAAAACAATGGATTCTGGACACTAAGAGAGCAATATTATTTTGTCTTCTCCCTCAGATTTAGGCATCTCTAGTAATGGGTCTGCAACTCTTTGCTAATTTGAATTAGAAAAGAAAAAAAAAACACAAAATTGTTTGGAAAATGCATAAATTCCACAAAATAGCAATGAATYTTATTTTTAAATCATGTGATAACGGTTTCTAGTGCAGGAACTTTTTGTTCGCTCAAAGGAGAAGCAAGAAAAAAGTTTAGTTTGTTAAAGAGATGGACAAATAAAATAAACTGCATTAATAGCCTTAAAATGCATCAAACTTAGGTACATGTTTTTATTTTGCCAACCTTGAAACAAGGCATAAAAGATGTCAATAATCTCACTTCAATGTTATATAGACCTAATTTCAAAATAATGGCATCCCTACTACAAGTCAATTCTAGCTCACATTTTAGCATACAAAATATTAATAGTGTAATGTCTCTTTGAGTCTTGGTAAGTCAATCAAAACATCTGCAAACTGAGGTCCTGCAGATACCCTTTAGTGGCAAGCCAGGCTTGATTTTTAAGATGTAACTAATTGTTGTATCTTGCTGCTGTATATATTAGTCCCATAACAGCCAGCTGGCAGCCATAGTTGTCAACATAAAACAGTCAATATCTTTTGCTAGAGAATTGGTGACTTGGTTGCTAGAATTACTGTATATTTCACTTGATGTTAGATCAATTTGTTGGTGTTTAACGGCATTCCCATACTTTAGCTGTCATATCTACACTACCAGTGATGACAAATGGGCTAGACTTGTGGAAATCTGCAAAAGAAATATTGGCAGCATTGGTTACATTGATGAAAATAATGTGTAGCCACGCCTTGGATTTGGATATATTAGAAAAGGTATGAAAGGCACAATTAAACTTTGATCTTTTATTTCAAACGTTTGCCTTTGACATCCGCTGATGAAGCTGTCAAAGACGAACATTTGAAATAAAAACGATCACAGTATAATTGTGCCTTCAGAAGTCATGACTTTTCTAATATATTGGTTAAATATTCTTGCTATAATTATTACTCAATTGTACTGGCTGACATCATATTAGAGCTTTAAACATTACCTAAATATGTTGGGGCAGGATGTAAATTAAAAAAAAATCTTTATTGCAGGGTATTCACCCTTTTTCTACTTACAAAAAATTAATTTTCTTTGTCTGTATAAATACCAAATGAGATAAAAATAACAATAACTAATCCTAACTATTTTAAAGGAATACATGCATCCAAGAACTTTCGTAATCACTTGTTATTCAATGATCTCATGTTGAATGCAGCTTTTTGAATCAGAGATGGCGTATGCAAGAAAATCGCAAAAAGGTTCTTGGTTACATGTTGGTCCTTCAATACATACTCACCTATACAAGTCACAAAATGTTCATGTGCAACCAATGTTTTTGCACATCTTTTGTTTTTATAATCCCAAATCCTAAGAGTTTTGTCATCAGAACAACTAATTATGTACTTTCCTCCTGGATGGAACATTACTCCTCTCACCCAATTATCATGGCCAACCTGAATATAACAAAATGAAACTATTAAAAAGATAAACTGAAAGTGCTCTCCCAAACCCAACTTAAAATATTGCAATTCAAATAAACTTACTTGCTATAAATATTTTATTCTAATAAGTCCTTTTTTTATAATTATCATTTCTAGAAGTTTTAGTTCATTGGTTTATTCAGGTACTAATAGTTTGAAAGCCAATGAATTCCTTACCAGTGTAACAAGACAGACACCAGCACTAATATCCCATATCTTGATTGACTTGTCTCTTGACCCAGACACTAAAAATGGGCCAGGACTTCCCCCTTTCTTTCCTCCCTAAAAAATGATAATTCATTAAAACAAATGATAGTAGATGTGGTGGCTTTGAACATACAGTACCCAAACATTACTAAAACAATAGAAAACAATAGATACTTCTTTTTTCTATTCTTTTGTGCATGACCTTAGGCATAATCTAGCTACAAAGCATGCAAGGTGTAGAGCAGATTTCGTATGACTGTGCGCAAAAGAACGGATCACAACACGGACACAGACACGGCACGGCACGGTCACAGAACCTCGCCTTCAATGCATCACGGCTACGGCACAGTACGGACACAGCACGAACGTACCGTGTTTTTTTGCACAGTCATACGAAATCCACTCTAATGCACTTATCATTAGTTCACATGACAAGAATGTAGTACAACCACTGACCTCCATGCCTGCAGCTTCATTGATTACATGATGGGCACTTTCTGGAGCCCAATTGATATCCTCAATCACATGTTCATGATCATGGAAATCACACTTGCACTCTTTAGAAGCAACAATCCAAACCCTTATAGTCTGTGGAAAAAACAATACAAAATAAATATATCAATCAATATTTATCAATTATTACTTTATAGTGAAATTTTACCTGATCATTGGAACATGTTGCTAAAAGTGTACCTAATAAA